ACATACATACATACATACATACATACATACATACATACATACATACAAACAATAATAAGATATTAGGAGGAGGAGGAGGAAAAGAAGGAAGAAGAGGAAGAGGAAAAGGAGGAGGAAGAGGAGGGGAGTGGCAGTTCAGACCACATTCTTATTTTAATATTTATTTATTTGTTTTTATGTATGAGTGATCTGTTTTCATACACCTAGAAGAGGGAATCAGATCCCATTACAGATGGCTGTGAGCCACCATGTGGTTGTTGGGAATTAAACTCAGGATCTCTGGAAGCGCAGCCAGTGCTCTTAACCGCTGGGCCATCTCTCCAGCCCCAGGAGCACATTCTTAAAGATGAATGCTCTCAGTCTAGTTCCAGTCCTTAGAACAGCAGAAATGCTTTAATAAACCAGAATAAACCAGGGAACCCAACACAAAATGCAAGTGGTGAATCATTCTATGGTAAATTGAAAACAAAATCACATTACAGGACACAGGAAAGAAAAAAAGATCCCCAAGAAATGCAGTTATGGATAATTGTGAGCCAGCATGTGGGTTCTGGGAGCTGAACCAAGGTCTCTGAAAGACCATGTGCTCTGAACTACTGACCTATCTCTCCAGCCCCAATATACTCCCTCCCCCCACCCATTCCTTTTTTCTTAACTGTTTAAACATTACAGGTAAAACTAATGTTATCTGATTCCCTTTCACCACCATCCCTTACTCTCTGGAAAGTCTCGACTCTACTCTAAACTCCACTTTGTGAGTTCTCTCATGTGAGAGTAAACAGTTACCATTTCTTGACATTAGTCCTTTTAATTTTCTTGAAGGCTTAAAAAGGCAGTATAACAATCACTTATTTTATAGGCACCACTTGCTGCTCTTTTAGAGGCTTTCCACGTTCTCTCTCCATATAACTGACCACGTATTAGCAACGTGAAGATGAAGACAAGGTATATTTGCTGTCTCTCACACATTTTCTTATATTCATGGCCCACTACTACAGGCTAGATTCCTGAGGCCAGAGTTACCGCTCCTCGAAACAGAGAGCACACCACTGCCCTGACACTCAGCACAGGGATGTGGCTGTGAGGGCCAGCCACAGAAGTCACACTAACCCAAAGCCAGGGGTGAAGATCAGTTATCCTTAAGATTTGAATACAAAATTCAAATTACTGTTGTTGTTATTGTCAAGACTACCTTGTTGAGACAAGGTTTCTCAAAAACCACACAGGCCTGGAATTCACCATGAAGAATGACCTTGAATCTTGATCCTCCTGTCTCCACCTCCCAAGTGCTGGGATTAAAGACGAGAACCACAAAGCCAGCTCAAAGTCTCAAACTCTTGAAGAGATTCTGCAGCTTACACCTCAGATAGCCGCAGAAAGATCTCTACATTTTACCAGTGATTTCAGATGAGGGAAAAGTACTGGTAAAGGG